GAATCCTGCAATACGTTGGGACCATAATTTGAAACATTTTAACACCCTCTCACCTCCCCCAGACTTCCATCCTCTCACGTCTGGCAGCAGGTATAGATGTCCCACAGCCAGAGGTATTATATGTCACTTCTGAAGAGTGTCTGTGAAAGAGAAATAGAGAAAGGCGGGGGGGGGGTATGTACGTGGCGAGCATGTGCTCTTATGACTTGGACATTGAATTCCTCCGTCTGCCCAGGAGTTTTCACCTCGCTCCGTCGATAGTCCAAAAACAGTGATGGGAGCTATCTGATGGAGCTTCTCTTCCGTAGCCCAACGAAATACTTAACAAAGCGGGACTTTCTTTCCCAAACGATTGATCGCCCTGACGCTCCGCTATTGAGATGGCTCTTAAACAGAGGCCGGATTTTTCTTGTCCTGGGGGCAAAATGGCACCAGCTGCATTTGCGGTCCCAACTGGAAGCTCCCTCTCGCCGATAGCGATGCTTAGCATTTTGATGAGATGATACTTTGGTAAACGGGAAGACTGAGGTCTGGGAAAGAAGGAGCGAGATCTTCTCCAATGATGAGGGTGTCCGATCTTGATCGAGCCTCCCATTCCCCAAAATAATATCCGATTTCCATAGTGCCTAACATCTTAAAAGATTAGATTACCGGGGGTGGGGGAACGGGCGCAAGCTCTGAGTCTCAGCGGCTGGAGAGATCCCGAAGGGGCTTGAAGATTTGGAAGAGGAAGGAGCAATACACCTTGGCAGATCGGTAAAAGGGGAGGGAGCGGGCCCCCGCTAAGAAGTCTGATTATCTCAGCATAGTCCCTCTGGCCAGTCATTCAACCCTTTAGTCTGCTCACGAATAAGGCCGTTTTCATTTCTGTTTGCGAAAGGCTGCCTTGGTTTTTTTTCCATAAGGCATCTCAGAATTTATCGCCTCTTCTACCGACGAGGAAATTAAGGCAGAGTGAGAGATTTGCCGAGACAGCAATATTTTATTTGACACGGGGAATTCGCCAGTGTCAGCTTGGACCCCTGAAACCAGAAGGAGGCTGCGAACAAGAGTAGGGTTGCTCTGGAATGACTCCATCTATCGGAATTCTTAAATTGAAGAGGGGAAAGTCGCTCGGTTTCGGATCGATAACAGTACTTCGGTACCTTGGTGGAATGGACGGGGAGAAGTTTTCGGCAAGGAAGACAAGTCAAGCTTTCATGCCAGGCGGAGTAATCGGGCAACTAAAGCTTTCTGGTCAACTCTTTTTGAAATGTCCTATTGGGACAACAACTCAGAATTTCTCAAATGATTTTTCCCACCTCCCCATCACCTCACTTAAAATGTTTCTCCGGTGGTTAAAGGCAAGACAAACAAGAGATGCGCGCGTCTCTTGTTGGGTGCGTCTCACTCTGTGATGTTTCAAACAGGTGAGCGCTTCTCCTCCTCCCCGCCCTTCCAGAGCTGCTACGTACTGGAACCCCATTCCAAAAACGCTTCCGGAAATTAGTAGAACTGCGATTCTTTTCCCGATCTGGTTAATGTTCACCTCCCACCCCCACCCCGGTCACCATGTCCCATTTAAGGCTACTATAACATCGTGTATTCTCTCTTTATTCGGGGTTTTACAATGTCAGCTGTAGTGAAAACCCTACAAATGAATTTCGAGGATCTCTACTGATAATCTCCCAAACCAGAAGTTTAAGGGAGCACGCGCGCGTCAGATGAATGTATGTGTACGCGCATTTGAGTTTGAGTGAGATCAATTTAAAACCGGACGCTTTTGACCGTCTGCTCGGATTTTTCTAACGACCAGAGGTCGCTTCCTTTTTGGAGAAAAGAGTCCGAATGGGGCTGCTAGGCGAGGTTTTGCCACCACACTGTTCATAAGTAAAAGATGCTTTGCGCGCTTGTAACTATTGGCGCCTCTGAAGAAGGGCGCGCACAGGAGAAGAAGAAACGCGTCTCATACAGACCTTTTGTGCTTCTCTTTAGGCGCGGGGCGGGAGCTTTATGGTGTGTTTGGAAAATGTATGTATGGGCGTGTATCGCTACAGGGAGACAAGACGAAGCTTTTCCGGTTTGGAGGCAAGAATTTCAAGCCAGGTTCCCACTTGCATTTAGAAAAAAACGCACACACACACAAAACCCCGTGGTTCCTAACACCCACTCAAAACAGGCATATAAGCGAAAAGAAAGCCATCTTTTAACATTGTTACGTTGCCCTATCAAGATAATTCAGTTCCAGGGATATCCAGGGACGCAATCGACAGCTGTCCTTGGGGGCTCAAATCAAAATTGGGGATGTTATTGTTTGAGGCCGGAATACTACCCTCCACTCCACCCACTTGGATGGAGGAAACGCAGCCGAAATGAAAAAGAATCGAAGAGATTCTGTTGGGGGTGCACAGATACACCGCTTGCAAACATACCGGTACACTTTGCAAAGCGCGACTTCTTTTCATATGCATGAACCAGGCGTTTGTCTGGCGTACGTATGTAACCTCTAAATATACCTTGGGGAGCCAGCACTGAGCGCCCCGGGCAGAGACGGAAAATGCATCTGGCTGAAAAATGACTAGTGGTTTGCAACTCTTTCCAATCAATCTATTTACCTTCTCGACTGCCAAGAGCTGAGAACGACCGCGGCTCTTATTTGCCGGGCCCCTAAACGGGAATTTGGGTTGTCTTAAGACCAGAACTTCAAAGAAGACGAGAGACCGCGGGGCTCCCGAAAGGAGTTAGAGAAGCAGCTGGGTTTTTTTGGGCAGGCGGCGCCTGGGGATGTCGGCCTGGATCCCAACTCAGAAGAAAAAACTCAGCTTTTCTTCGGGAGCGCCCAAGTCCTGCCAAATCCAGGGGTCCGAGAGCGGGTGAAGTTCGGCGGCAGGGGAGGTTAGGGAAGCGGGAAGAAACCGCAAAATTTGGTTCCTTTTCCTGATGATCAAAAGAAAAGCAAAGGAAAGCAAAGCAGACTAGCCATCTCTTTCCTTACCTGCTACCCTGATCATAAGGTTTCCTTATAAACGTATGCAGGAGGCTAGGACATTGAATATGGACACTGAGTATACTGAGTCTTAGTTGTGTATGTTATTCGCCAAACTTAATCGAAATAAAGAATGCAGAGATGGCTCAATTCATCAAATACCTACCAAACCCCTCTTCTCTTTTAATTGGGAAATGCAGCACCGCCATGCCAAAGAGGACAGCAAGTCACCTCTTTTTAACCCATTTGGGGGGGGGGGTGTCACTACAAAGCCGTCTATTAAAAAAATAATCCGAGAGAGCCAACTGGAGCCTGTGTTCTGATGATTATTGGAAAGAATCCCTTTAAGGGCAAAAAGAGGAGAAAAGGCTGCCGTTGGACCAGTTTAAAACTAAGCAGGTGCACAAAGCCAATACGCCCTTAAAAGAACCCGGCCTCTTCGGGGATTCCAGGGAAATGGTTTCCATTTAATAAATATTTCCCCCCCACAAGCCCAAAGGGCATTTTGCGTTAGGCAGCAATTATTCAAAGAAAACAGGCGTGGAAGGTAGAAAGGGCTCCTATGGGGATTTCGGTTTTCTTAGAAGCCGATCTTTAATAGCTTGAAAATAACAATAAAACCCCAGGACGGGGGGGGGGGGAGAAAAAAAAGGGGGTCAGTTCTTGAAATGGGGACAACTTAGAAGAAATCCGCCACAGAATTTTCGCAGCCTTCCTCTGAGCGGGGACTGGATTTCTTGAGGGTTCCCTTCTTGGCCCTCCCTGGTAGCAAATTCTTCGGACGAAGCGGGAGGAAG